GCTCCTGTAACGTCTAGGTTAAAGGAAATAGAACTTGGGGGGTAATCTGAGCTGGAGTAAAATGTTCTGAATACATTTGACACTACCTGCATGTAAGCTTATTATCTGTTTTCTTCGGATGTGTTCTTCCACATTTCTCTGTTTGTGCTCGTATGATGGACTCTCCTAAGACATTAAGGTGAATGTCTGATTTGGTCATCTCTGTTGCATCCAGGGCTTTTTTTGGAAAACAGAAACAGAAGTCAATACTCTGTGTTTTGATGAGGTTGTTACTGAAAAGGTTTTGCACTAGACAGTTTATCAGCTTTAGTTCACAAAGAGACAGTCAAATGGAAACATCTTACTGCCATCAGTACCTGTGGTTCTTTATTAATACGATTGCACAACAATACAGGTGCCAGAAATATTGCCTACAAGGTGATGCTTCAAGAAATGGCCAAACAAATGGTCTAAATTGATGGTGGGTTGGCAGCAAGGTACCATTTTCATGGTGGCGTCTCTACACCTGCTTCTCAAGATGCAGGATTGACGTGTTCTGTCTCCTCTTCCATTGCACCGTTAGACATTAAAAGTGGGTTATTTTCCCAAAATAAAGTGTCTCTAACTTTTAAACGAAGTAAACTCTAAAGAAAGGGGGAGGAAGCTAATTGCAGACCAAAGAAACACACTCCTCTTGTTGTTCCGCAGAGTTCGGGCTGCTTTGCTTACACCACCGCCGCTGCTGATGCGAATGTTCCGTTTTGAGAAATCATTTGTATAAAAATCTTTTTTAGAAAACCCATCCTAGTTTCCTTGTGTGGGTGCAGTGCTCTTGTGCACAAAATCCTAGTTTTCTGTTTATATTTTTATGACAGAAAAGTGAGAAACTTTTTCTGCCTAAATCGGAATAGCATTCCTCAATGAAATCCATATGGTCCACGTGGGGTGCCACGCCCTGGGTGTGGCAACCTTGCTCCTCGGTAACATATTTGCTTTGATAAACTTAGCTTGGTGAAGAGGGAACTTTAAAAAGGCAAAGGTTTTAGACCGCCTGTTTAACCTTATAATTCTGAATCACCTGTAATATATGTAAGAACGTGTGACACACGCCTTCCTCGATGTGAAATAAGCTGTCGAATCAGGTTGTGGCTGCCCCTCTGCCCGTGAGGTCTGGTGGAGTAACCAGGCGCCACAGGTGACGTGTCCCTGGAGGGCCGTGCTGTGGACGGTCACGCGGTGGCGTGGACTCTCTGGAGTGGTCGACAGCCAGTCCTGCAGAATACTGGCGGCTGCTTTGTCTGTGGTCAGCACGGTTAGTGTGCTGGGAACCCTGCCGTCCAGGACTCAGGGAAGCATATGATGCAGTTCTTTTAAACCACCCAAGACAAAAGTCACTCAGGACCCAACCAGGCCATAGCACGTGTGTCGCACACCGAATGGTCTCATGAGAAGGGACATTAAACAACAGCGACAGGAAAGGTTGTCAGTCATGTCATCGGGGGCATTTTCAATTTTAGTTGAGGTGATATTTGGCAGTGTGTATGTTAAAATAAGGTATTTAATTTTTTTTGGAAAACTTCTGTAGAAGAAGGTGCTGCCAAGATTGTGCGCCTACATCAAGGTGACCCCGCCGTCTCTGAAGTCCCTCCTCGCTGTCGCATTCCGTGTTTCTGTGGGTGTGGCCTGGGGGGGAGGTTAACGTCAGCTCTCATCCCCTTGTTGAATGACTTTGCAAACTTGGAACCCTGCGGGTTCAGGGTTCCCCTCTGTAGGCTGGGGGCAGCGATGCGTCAGCCCCGTTCCCGTGGGATCTAGAAGAGCAGTGCAGTGTGTAAACTGAGGTGGTGACACTTAGCACCCATAGTTGCCCAGGTTTCTTCTCTGTTTGCTCCTGTGGATAATTCTTTTTTTTCCTCAATTCTTGGAAACTGGAAAAATGGTCTCGATACCATTTTTCATTTTGTCCTCCAGAGAATTAAAGGCTGTATGTGAGCTCCAGGTATGATTGTATCTTTTTTTTTGAAAAACAAGGTACAAGTGGTTATTTATATTTTTTTTAGATAGAAGTGAATAATTTAGAAATGTAGTATTTGATTTCCAGGCATTTGGGGATTTTCTCATTATCTTTTTGTTAAATATTGAAATAGTAATTCATATAAATTGATTTCTAGCTTACAGCTTTTGTGCTTACAGACCATAGTCTGAATTGTTTCAGTTCTTTGAAATTTGTCGACACTTTTTATGTCCAGCGTGTGGTGAGCTTTGGGAGATGTTTGAGATGTACTAGAAATGACCGGGCTGTTCGGTGCTATATTCCGTGTTCCCTGTGTGTCATTTACCTCATTCATTTATTTCCTGTTCACATTGTCCATATTCTTACCGGTTCTTTTTTAACGCTGGCTCTATCAGCTGTATCGGAGAGGTGTATTAAAGTTGCCCCCTGTGATTGTGGATTTGTCTTAGTTTTCTTTTTAATCCTGTTAATTTAATTTTCTTTTTAATTCTGTTAATTTTGGCTTTACATATTTTTTAACATTTTTTATTGATTTATAATCATTTTACAATGTTGTGTCAAATTCCAGTATTCAGCACAATTTTTCAGTCATTCATGGACATATACACACTCATTGTCACATTTTTTTCTCTGTGAGTTATCATAACATTTTGTGTATATTTCCCTGTGCTATACAGTGTAATCTTGTTTATCTATTCTACAATTTTGAAATCATTTTAAAGAGAGATCACTGGGTACTTGGATCATGTTATACACATACATACCTATGATAATGAAAAACGTATATGTATATATAGTCCCTTATAATTCTGAAATCCTCCTTTTTATCTGTAGTAAGACTTGTTGCTGGTGTGCTTCATGCCGTGCAGCTATACCAGCTTCCTTATAAACAGCGCGTGGCTGCTTTCTGTTTATCTGCTGCTACTTTAATTTTTTACTTGAAATAGCCTTTCACTTTATTATTTATACTTAATATAATTATTGATATACTCATCATAGTCAGAAACTGAAATTACCCAAGTGTCCATCAAGTAGAAAGTAGAAAGTCTGCGTGTTTGCGTAATGGAATACCCTGCGGCCGTGAGAACGCAGGCGCTACGGCTAGCGCGGCGGTGTGACTAAGTCTCACATCACATCACTGCATGAACCAAGCCAGACAAAAAGAAGTATATTCTGTATGATCATATTTTTTATTAAATATAAAAACAGCCCAAACTAATCTGCGGTGCTAGAAACCGGGGTCTGTGTTCCCCGGGACAGCGGTTGCAGGGCTGAGGGACGGTGGTGCTGGTTCCGAGTCTCATCCTGGTGTTGGGTCATGGCTGTGCTCGGTTGGGGAAAATTCCTCAGGCTCTTCTATGAGTTGTTCACCTTTCTATATGTATTTTCTTTTGGAGCAGGATTTCCTTACCCCCTCAGTTTCTAAAGAGGCTCGTTTAGGTCCACTCTGGATCCAGTGTGATGAGATTTTACAGTCACACTAATCCTCACAAAGCTGACATCGAATTACAAGTGGCCAGAATTTTTTCTGTCACTGGACATGATGACTTTTTTCTATTTAATGAAATCCACTTCATCTCAAAAATGCTTTCTTTGAGCTTCATAGCCTGAGCAGGTGTACTTCTCCCATCTCTCTTACCTGTGGATGAGCTTGGTGTTCAGTCACTACACCTTGAGAAAGAATTAAACACACTTGATGTTTGCAGTACAAGTGGCCTTCAGTTGAACTTGGGTGGTGACATCTCAGAAAACTTTAAAACCCACGGGGACCAGGGGAGGGTGGAGAGAGAGACGGCGGAGGA